CCCAATTGTAAGGGTGCCGGAAGAAGGCGTAATGTCCGAACTCTTGAAACTGAGGAAGCTATACTGGAACATCTAGAACATGACTGTGGTACAAGCACAAGACAGGTGTCCAGGCAACTGCAAGTTTCTCAGTCTTGTGTGGAATGTAGCTCATGAAAATCTTTTATACCCTTTTCACCATCAACCCGTGCAAGAATTGAATGACCCTGATTTACCTAATCGCGTGGATTTTTGTCAATGGTACATTAATATTTCCAGGCATGATTTAAATTTTTTAATGAATATACTTTTCACCGATGATGCAAATTTTCTTAGAGTAGGTGCAGTAAACCTTCATAATGTTCATTCATGATTGGAAGAAAATACGCATGAGATATTTGTTTCAAGATGTCAACAAAATTTCAGTTTAAACGTTTGGATGGGAATTGTAGGAAATACTCTAGTAGGTCTTTTTATTCTTCCACACAGGCTTGGAGCGGCCGAGTATCTTAGAATTTTGAACGAAAATCTTCCAACATTACTCGAGGATGTACCCCTCACTACACATCAGGTGATGTGGTGCTTGCACATAGTACACTGCCGTTAGAGAATGGTTAAATTTAAATTACCCGAATCGCTGGATTGGTCGTGGTCGTGACTTTTGGTTTCATCAAAAAATTACAAGAGGTAAAAAAGTAGCGCAATAAATCAGTCTTCCCAATAAATATTTTTATATAAATAATTTGCTTCATATAAAAAATGTAATGAAATATTGCAATGGGGTTGTCTGTTTCACTCCTGTACAAAATACGCCAATGAACAAATATTGAAAAGTTGTCTCTTTATTAGTAGGATGCTTATACCAAGTTTCGTGTCTCTGGCATTCCTCATGTTAAAGAAAAAAATTAAAATGTGAATTTCAATCCTCACCTTTAAGAGGGTATATCGCCTCAGGGGTGCAACTTTCATATAAGGTATTTTTACTTCAATCCTCTTATTTTTGGCTCTACATTCACTGGTACCATTTTTGCTACTTCATTTAAAAACACCCTGTATATTTGTGTATTTTCTTTTCAGCTGAAGAAGTACCGTCAGAAGAGGTTGCAAAAGTTAAAGTAAGTTTTTCACGTTTGACACTCTCTTATCGTTTGACTAATATTTTGTGTTTTTTCTTTTTAATTTTTGTTTTGTGACTCACCTTTAAAGTCTAGGGCTAGGTTTTATTCGTGTATATTTAGAAAACATGGTGGGTTATGCAAATTATTTGTAAATTGCGAAGGATAAGTAGTATTTGGCATTGTTCGTCCTGATTCAAATGTTCATAGGAAGGGACGAAACATGAGATTAGTTTATTTTTAGATTGTTTTTGTTGGTAGTTTTTTTTTAGTTTTTTATTTTTGTATTTGTAGCCGCATGAAGTTGGTAACAACCGCAACTATAAGCACGTTGGCACCACTGCTAAAACGCATCAAAGTCACTCGAATAACATCCCGTCGACATCTAACTCCAGTAACCACCATAAAAACAAGTTTCAGTCACACGTAACACACAGAAACTCGTCCCATCCCATTGATATTCTACCGTTGAAAAAGTCCATGTCTTACGTCGACTTAAAAAAGGAAATCGAGAGCCTTCTGCCTATAAATAATAAAACAAGCGAGAATAATATAATCGATGCAGACAATCCGCGCCGTCCAAGTATCGGTCGTAAAAAGTCCAGAACCTTCCGTCAGTTCCCTAAAATAGTCATACACCCTCCCGAAAATCAGTTAAACGTTACTAATAGTATGCCGAACATTCATTCGTCATTCTTGAAAGATCTGCATGTTTCTCGGGTTTTTAATAATGTTTCTAACCTGAACGCATCCTGCCCTGATCTGACTAACGAAAACTTATTCTCAACTAACTTCGACACTGTCAGTGAGGACAGTTTAGAGAACGATGATGTATTTGAATATTACGATGACTATCCCGAAAATGTATCAGTTTGTAGTGATACCTTCGTACCTGATTTCAAATACCATCAAGAGAGATTCCTGCACGAACCGCGGTCCCGTAAAGTTAATTCGTATTCCGTGATCGAGAGTCAAAATTTGTATTTAAGGGACATAAACACTTTATCTTCGACTAAACAGAAGTACGCAGGCAATATGATGCGTCGTAAGAAGAAAGACGAGATGCCCAGCGACGTGCTGAGGCGCAACTTGAAGATGAAACACTCGAACTCGATGCAAAATCTCTTCAAAGACTTGCCCAGGAGAAGGGCGAACGAACAGCCGTTCGATAGCTACTACACGGTACACGGTGAAAATAACCTCTCCCATCACGGTCCGATGCATAGCAATTCTAACTATTCGATATACGATTATCCTCCACCGAGCCCCAATAGTTTTAACGCGTTCTACCACAGGCCTTACCTGTACGGCAATTTCGGTTCTATGGACCATCTCGGTAATTTTCACGGATACGGTTCGGAGTATCCCTGGTACGCAAGGAGTTACGGTTCTCTGCCTTGCAATAACCTCTCCGAGTACCACACATGTAACACACCACACCAGACTGAAATTGTATACAAGTGTTGTTGCGGAGGCGTGAACTGTAAGACAGTGGTGCCAATACACGAGTATTTGGAAACTTATTTCAACAGGACGGTAAGATATTCTAGGAAATTTAAAAGAACATTAAAGTTATAGTGAGATGTGAGGTGTAAAATATGGCTTTCAGGTATAGCTGGGATATATATTTTCATTCTGTAAATTTTTATGTACTTCTAATTCTTCTGGGGATATACAGGGTGCCCCATTTTAAACTCGCACCTGAATATCTCGTCAGGGAAGCTACCAATCCGACAATAACCCTTACAAAAGTTGTAGGTTCAGAGGGGTACTTCGGATGGCGACCTTCAATTTGACCTTGACATTGACCCTCAAGGCCAGTTGAAAGTCAAATCAAATTTTTTTAATAGGAACCTCTATTTTTGACCCCGGGATCAGAAAGAGCGCAAAATTTTATGTTTAGATAGGTACTTAAGGCTCTTTTTTGCAATGACCTTCAAAGGTTACTTCAAGGACAAAATATTTAAATTACACCTGAATATCTCGTCAGGGGAGGCACCAATCCGAAAATAACCCTTACAAAACTTGGGTTCGGAGGGGGATATCGGATGGTGACCTTCAATTTGACCTTGACATTGACCGTCAAGGCCATTTAAAGGTCAATTTAAAATTTTTAAATAGGAACCTCTATTTATGACCCCTGATTCGAAGGCAAAATTTTATGTTTAGATGGGTACTTAAGGCTCTTCTTTGGAATGACCTTTAAAGGTTATTTCAAGGACAAAATATTTAAATTACGCACCTGAATATCTCGTCAGGGAAGCTACCAATCCGACAATAACCCTTACAAAAGTTGTAGGTTCAGAGGGGTACTTCGGATGGCGACCTTCAATTTGACCTTGACATTGACCCTCAAGGCCAGTTGAAAGTCAAATCAAATTTTTTTAATAGGAACCTCTATTTTTGACCCCGGGACCAGAAAGAGCGCAAAATTTTATGTTTAGATAGATACTTAAGGCACTTTTTTGCAATGACCTTTAAAGGTTACTTCAAGGACAAAATATTTAAATTACAAACGTGAATATCTCGTCAGGGGAGCCACCAATCCGAAAATAACCCTTACAAAACTTGGGTTCGGAGGGGGATATCGGATGGTGACCTTCAATTTGACCTTGACATTGACCGTCAAGGCCATAAAGGTCAATTTAAAATTTTTAAATAGGAACCTCTATTTTGACCCCTGATTTGAATGCAAAATTTTATGTTTAGATGGGTTCTTCCTAGGAATGACTTTTAAAGGTTATATATCTTGTCAGGGGAGCCACCAATCCGAAAATAACCCTTACAAAACTTGGGTTCGGAGGGGGATATCGGATGGTGACCTTCAATTTGACCTTGACATTGACCGTCAAGGCCATTTAAAGGTCAATTTAAAATTTTTAAATAGGAACCTCTATTTATGACCCCTGATTCGAAGGCAAAATTTTATGTTTAGATGGGTACTTAAGGCTCTTCTTTGGAATGACCTTTAAAGGTTATTTCAAGGACAAAATATTTAAATTACGCACCTGAATATCTCGTCAGAGGAGCCACCAATCCGAAAAATAAGCCTTACAAAAATTGTTCGGAGGGGGATGTTGGATGGTGACCTTCAATTTGACCTTGACATTGATCTTTAAGGCCATTTAAAGGTCAAATCTAACTTTTCAAATAGGGACCTTTAGTTTTGATCCCTGATTTGAATGCAAAATTTTATGTTTAGATGGGTTCTTCCTAGGAATGACTTTTAAAGGTTATATATCTTGTCATGGAAGCCACTAATCCGAAAATAACCTTTACGAAAGTTGTTGGGTTCGGAGGGGGACATCGAATGGTGACCTTCAATTTGATCTTGACCTTGATCTTCAAGGTAATTTGAAGGTCAAATCTAATTTTTTAAATAGAAACCCCAATTTTTGACCCCAGATTCGTAGAACGTAAAATTTTGCGCTCTTTCCTAATCAAAAATAGAAGTTCCTATATAAAAAATTTTGACCCTCAAATGGCTTTGAAGGACAATTCGAACCTTATAACTTTCGTAAGGGTTATTTTTGGATTGCTGGCTACCCTGACGAGATATTCAGGTGCGTGATTTAAAATGGAACACCCTGTATGTTTACAAAAAAATAACTGCGAATTTTTGTATTTCTAATTTTGTACTAATTTGCGAGGAATATGGGAAAAATGTTTAAATTTTCTTTGATTTTCTTTGTATTTATTATTAAACTTAAAAAGTATATATCCAGCTATATGTATATGTCTTATCTACATCAGCAAATGTGTGGATTATTCCTTAAAATAAATTTACATATCTTGTTTAAAAATTCCAGGTTCTTGTTATAAATTCATTTTTTGACGTAATATTTGATATTTGAGTATATATTTAAAACAGTTCAAAATATGTGATGGGAAGTCATCAAATAACAGGGATTGATATTGGCATAAAATGAAATTATGTGGAAAAAAAACTTAATATAAGAAATATCAGGAAATATAAAAGTAAAATCAATTTAGTTATGATTATACCAGATTTCCAAAATAGTAGACAGTAAATCAAACCACAATTTTGGAATGTTCTATTCTTATGACCACTCATTTCTACCTTTGCTTATCACATACAAAAAGAGAGACGACCAGCGCTGCATTTATCGATTTGTCAGTTTTTATTGCAAGTGTTTCCTTCTATGTCAAGTGAAAAAATACGTGTTCATATTTTCCCATTCCAATTTTTCCGGCCTGTTTTTGAAAATGGGATTGTTTGTGAGTGTTAGTGGTTGATCTGTTAAACATTGTTCGTTAAGGAATTCGAGCACGAAACATTATATTGTGTGTTCAAAAGTGGTGAAAATGTAAACGAATGGAACAAAAATATTGAAATTGACAATGACGACAAGTATGAGATCTATAGGAAGACTCGCAGATTTTATTTTAAAAATGAACTTCCAACATTCAAGAAAAATGAAACTTCAATTGCAGAAGAAGACGATTAGCCTACATTTTCATGGCAGTTTAACTGCTTATTATGCATGAAATGAACTTTCATTACATCAAACAAGATCGAAGAAGTATGCTAATAGATAAGACTGAAATTGTAGTATGACGAATAATAAAAATAATAGGTCATACATCAAGAACGAAAATTTATGTCGATGGCCAAGGTTTGGCACAATTTCAATACCAACAGCAGACGAGAAGCATTTTTTAGAAGCATTTTCTACAAAATTAAAGCGTTGAGTGAGGAAATAGTCACTATTTCTCACTCATCTATTAAAGTCACTGATAGACCAAGTGTGTTATGAAGAATAAGCTATTTCTATATGGAATCTTCTAGTAACAATCTTAAAGACCCCGTTCAAGGTGCGGTTTATCAAAGACGATGAGCAATATGTTGAAAATCACTACAATGATTTTCAGTTCATTGACCATATGCAATCATTTTTAACAATGGTGCACTTTATTAAATAGCGCCAATATGTTGTCTTTTGTTTATCGAATCGTTGCAATGGCCACAGATTTAATTGCCCTGTCGATAAAATTTTCTGTAAATTCTACTAATTACAAAAGCTGCCAAAAATGATTACACACAGTCGATTCATTTTCGACATATTGCTCATTGCCTTCAATACACCACACCATGGATGAGGCCTTTTAAAAATCCCTGTTATTTAATGACTTGAATTTTTTTTATATTTGTGTAACTTTATATCGAAGTTTTCTCTTGTACTAAACAATTTAAACAATTAATTAAGATCAGTTCATTTTATAGAGTAAATAAGCACAATATTAAGTATGGTGCATTATATAAAGTCAGTCATGATATATTTTGAGGAATAACCCAGCTGAAAGTACTGTCTGTAGCCAAGCCCATTAATCGGTAATAGTGGGAGGTATACCGGCTATATTGATCCACTTTAATGTTAGCGATGTATGTTGTGTTTCTTACTAACCATATCTGAATGTGGCTTGTGACGCATCTTGTTCTGATCCTAGAATAGTCTACTAACCATCACGGAATGTGTACGAGAATATGTGCATTCACAAAAAAAAGTTTGTCGGACAGATAATACAAATTGTACATGGGAATTCGTCTTCGGTGCAGTGTTTCATTATTCATTTTCTAAGTTCATCTGCAGCTTTTTGATTTATTTATTCATCTGATGTGTCTTTCTCATACTTTGTTAATGTTATCATCGTCCTCTGTTGATGTAAATTGTAACTTTTTATATTTGTGAGTCAACCGATATATTTCATCCGTGACTAGACACAAATAGGAGCGGAATAATGACGATGACAGTGCCTAATCGGCTCATAAAGGGAAACATTATTTATCTTGGATGGAATGTGGTAACAAAAAGAACATTTCCAATTTTTTTTTAGTTATTTCAAAAAATTCCCTTAAAATATTTAACATACCATTTTGATTGGCACTGTCATTTAACAGCTAATGTCAGAATTGATATTTAGACCATCATATATTTTCATCGAAAACTTTTCAGCAACTATGAGTATTCTTTTTTAATTGTAGTTTTTATCATATTTACAATTAGAGTAACAAACTTGACTTGAACTGTGGCTTTTTTCCTTTTACTTTAACACTTGTCGTACCAGGTGGGATAAAAATGTATCCGACAGTCACAATTTTTAATATATTTCCTTTAGTATGTTATCGTATAAGAGCATAATTTTATTTAGTAAAAATTATATTTAATTAATTTGAAAACACACCTTATCCATGTTATTTTTTTGGTAACTAGAAGGATTTTATGTAGTTGGTATCAATAAACATGCCTTATTGTTATTATTCAGTTGAGATACAAATATACGTACACAACATTTAACACGGTATGATGAGGGTTAAAAATTCAGTTAAAAATTAACCTGCAAAGGATTGTCAAATTAGTCAAATGTCAAATATAATCTGTCAAATTGCCACTTAACTTCTGCTTCCGATACTATTGGGTGTTGTTGGTACTGCCATTTAGACCACATAGAAAGAAGTGTGTATAATTGCCTCTCTATTTAATGAAAATTATCTAGTTTTACATCTCAATTCCCATGCTTTATTATTATTTTGATAAATTAAAATAAAACATGATAAAAAATTTATTTTTATGACTTGGAACCTAACAG